CGAGTAGATAAGGTAAATGGTTCTGGAAAGCGAGTTAAAAAATTAAATATTTGAGTTAGGGATTGAGAAAGATAAAAGTTGTGGGCATTAATACCTGCTGAGTCACTGACACTAGAGCCAAGCCATTCAGTGCGATGAACATTAAAGTCACCGACAACAATAATATTGGCTGATGGATAAAGAGAGAAGGCTTGGTCAATATGATCAGAAATAACATCAAGAAAAGTGCAGTCTTGAGATGAAGAAGAGCATCACAGAACAAAGAGAAAGGCGATAGAACGAAATGATGCTAAACAAAAGTACATAAAAGAGTAGTCTGTGGATTCAAACCTAGTTTCCCGACAAATGGGTGAATTCTTACGAATGTAAATGCCCAAGCCAAGCATGTGACTATTGGAGTCTTTAATAATTAAAGGAAGATAACCATCAACACTAAGATCACACAAGATTCTCCAGAAGTCATGAAAGCCTAATTTTTTATATGAAATACAAGATTACATGACCTGAGAATAGCGGGCTTTGGCGTTAAACAAAACCTTTACAATGGTTACAATGGTTTTAATCAATAGTAAACAGAAGTCTGTTTTCTGGAGAATCGTTTTGCTGTTAGATATGGAAGTAATGATTTTGATTGGAAATTGCACCAGCACAATGTAAGGAGAACATCAAGAAGAGACTTGATTTCAAATTGTCAAGTGGGAATAAAAGATTCCATTTTTCAGCACATTTGTCAGCAGGAAGAAAAAAGATTTCTACCCAAGGGTCATCACAAAGAAAATCACGGAAAAAGTTCCAGTCAGGGAAGTTTAAGGTAGTTGTAAGAGGCACAATAATAACCCCCTATTCAGATGATGAAGAAGAATGAGATAATAGTTTTAGAGAGATCAGAAAAGGGCGCTGCTACCACAGATCACAGAGAGCACTTAGAAAAAACGCATACAGTTAATAAGAACATTATTACCACTGAATTAATAAGCCTGGTGTTTTGGTACTGAGGAGATTGTGTTGTAATTTATGTAAAAAAATAATTAACAGAAGCATATTTATGCAATGAAATAAATGCATTCATGTTAAGTATTAAAATAAAAGATATATTTCTTAAACATAACCTTGTTGTGAATTAAAAATTGTTTAAAAAAAAATTAATTTAGTTTAAATTGATATTTTTTCAAATGATTTGAACCATGGTTTAAACCATTTAGTTAAATCCTATCTACTCTGTGTAATTTCCATGGTTTTACAATGAACCTGATAAAAAAATAGGATTAACAGAGGGCGAATGGAAAAAAATGCTTTGCCCTAATGAGCAATCTTTTTTTTTTTAAAAAAACTTAAAAGACACCATGGTGTCAAAATTTACATGAGAAAATAAATTGAATTGATCCATCCCTAAAACAGCATCTACGTATAATGATATTTTTTAAAATAAGTATATTATGCCTACAAAAATATGAAGCAATTACACATGCGAACAAAGAATGTTTATAAAATAAAAAACCGTATAGGTTTCTAAATGCAGACATTAAAATACATTTCCCATGAAAAATTCTTAAATAATTGAGTTTATAAAGTAATAAAAAAAAGGTCATATTAAAAATATATATAAAAATAAAAAAAGAAATTAACAAATGAATTCTTTTTACAATACTGTCAACATATTCTACCAATGTGTGAAACTCTACTAATGTATGAAATATTATATTACTTAAGAGCTCCTTTTATATTGTGTTTTTAGATAAGCAGTCTGGTGTCATACTGAAGCAGCCAGCTGCCTCTAGCTTTAGTACATACATCCACTGACTAAATAGAAGTCTCGGGAATTTACTTAGGGTTTGACTTAAGGCAGAAATCATATATATATATATATATATATATATATATATATATATATATATATATATATATATATATATATATATATATATATATATATATATATATATATATATATATATATATATATATATATATATATATATATATATATATATATATATATATATATATATATATATATATATATATATATATATATATATATATATATATATATATCCTTGTAACAGCAGGCTATAAAATATTGATGTAGCAGAACATCCTTGTAACAGAAGGCTTTAGGTTGATGTAGCAGAACGTCCTTGTAGCCACATAGTCCATGTTGCACGCATTTTTTACAATAAAATAGCAGCACTGCTTGCAGGTTTTACCTTTTTGTCAGTCAATATAGCAACACTTGCATGTTTCAAAAATGTTATAAAACAAAAAAAAACAAAAAAAAAACAAAATTAAATGTTTAAAAGTGCTTACAGAGACTTTTTTTACCATAAAAGTCTCTTTTGACTGCTATATATGGATATGGATATATATATACACACACACACACACATATATATATATATATATCTATATATATATATATATATATATATATATATATATATATATATATATATATATATATATATATATATATATATATATATATATATATATATATATATATATATATATATATATATATATATATATATATATATATGTATATATATATAAAGGTAGCAAACTAATTACAAGCAATTAGCGTCCAATTTCTTTGACACCAGTTGTTAGTAAAGTTATAGAAAAAATTGTCAAAGACAGTATGGTCCAACACTTAGTACAAAATCACCTAATTTCAACTAATCAACATGGTTTTGTGCACAACAAATCATACACAACTAATTTAATTGAAACAATGGACTTTATTACCTATTCATTATCTAAAGGAAATGTGGTTGATGTAGTATTCATGGATTTTGCCAAAGCCTTCGATGTTGTTCCGGTAATGGCAGAATTTTCATCAGAATGGAAAGAGGTTCGGAGTGGTGTACCGCAAGGATCTGTTCTAGGTCTTATTTTATTTATAATATATATTAATGATATGCCAGAACTATTAAAAAGTGTAAATAAATTGTATGTTGACGATACTAAACTATTAGCAAAAATAAATAATATCAACTATATAAATGTATTACAAAATGAAATAAATATTATCGCAAAATGGTCCCAAACATGGCTTCTTTACTTGAATGAGTCAAAATGCAAAGTAATGCATCTCGGCAAATCAAACAAACATCATAATTATACAATTCCATCAATAGCAAATGAAATAACTAGTATAATAAAAAATCATAGTCAAGTTATGTATGCATTAAATAAAGCAAATAAAATACTTGGAATGTTAAGCAGGACTTTCAACTATATGAATAGCAAACTTCTCAAAACATTGTTTACAACGTTTGTGAGACCTCATTTGGAATTCGCAATACCGGCGTGAAACCCTTACCAAAAAAATGACATAATTCTAATTGAACAAGTACAACACCGAGCAACTTGTTTGATTCCATCACTTAGAAAACTGAATTACAAAATATGATTGAAATTTATGGGTATTCAATCTCTTGTTGACCGTAGAGTTCGAGGTGAACTAATACAATGTTTTAAAATAATAAATGCTTCGATATTGTAAATTGGTGTAACCTAAATTTGCTGTCTTATCCAAGAAATTTTAATCAAAGTCGAACGCAAGGTCATAAGCTAGTTAGAGAGTTAAGTTAAAAACAATGAACAGCGTCATCAGTTTTTTACAAATCGTGTGGTGAACACTTAGAATAAATTGCCTAAAAGCATAATCAGTGCCACAACTGTAAATAGTTTCAAAGCAAGATTGGATAAATTTTTTGAATCACAAAACCTTGAAGATGATTAACAATGAAATTGGCTTTATTCCCATTAAATTAACTTAATTCAAAATAATTTGTAAATTTTTATGTAGGCCGCCACAACCAGAATTGGTTACACAAGCTATAGCTTGTTGCGGTACAATAAATAATAATAATAATAATATATATATATCAGAGGTATACACATCTAGATCCCCGACTTTACAAGGAAACTGAACTTTGTGAAAGGCAACTAAAAATATTCCCTCGATGCAATAAAGTTGCCAGAAAGGACACCTTTATTGCATCAATAAATTTTATCTGCAGAATTCTAGTTGTTGTTTTTTAATTAAGAACTCTATAAAAAGAAAAATAACTATCTAAAATAATAATAAAACTATATCTTGAAAGTCACAGTGCCAAAGTTTGTTTTAATTATTAAATATTAATTATAATTAGATTTTATTATCAATTATCAATAAGAAAATTCTACAATGGTAGGTACAAAGGTAACAAGACTGAAATTATGTTCAGTAAGAGAAAACTTTTATTTTGAAATATTTAAATTATCTTTTAATATTGTTTATGCGTGGTTTATTCAGAAAATCAAAAAAAGTTGTATAAAAAAAGCATTTAACCGCAACTGTGAGTTTATTAAATTAATTGTTTTATAAAAAAATATTGATAAAAAAAAAATATAAAAAACTTTGTAAAAGTGCATATTTTTTTTTTTTAGTTTTTTTTTTTTTTTTAATTATTTTTTATTTTGCTAAGCAGTAAAATCTAAAAAAATATTTTTTTGATAAAATGATATATATATATATATATATATATATATACATATATATATATATATATATATATATATATATATATATATATATATATATATATATATATATATATATATATATATATATATATATATATATATAATATATATATATATATATATATATATATATATATATATATATATATAACCCTCGGAATTAGGAAAAACGAGGTCGGTAATAATTTGCCGACCTTTATCTGTTTGAGGTCAGCATCAGGTGAGTGATTTTTTACCAACCACAAACACTTCTAGGTTAGCAGTTAGGTCGGTATTGCTGAATGCTGACCCTAATTCCGAGGATATATTGATCTTTTCTTTACAAGAAAAAAAGAAAATACGTTAATTTATGAAAAATATGAAAATGAAAAATGGGTACTATCAAGATATAAATAACATTTTTTTAAGCAAAAATTTTTTTTTTTTTTTTGATAAAAAAAAAAAGTTGTAAAGAAATAAATTTAAACCTTTTATTTGGAGATCATCATCCTCATCACTGCTAAATTTTAAAGGTTCTTCATCAGAATCACCAAGAACACTTGCTTGTCGCTTTTGTGCTTGCGTTAAATGAGTTTTTGTTGCATTATTACAAAAGAATTGAATATTTAAATCTTTACACATTTTTGGTTTTACTTTTATTGATTTTTCAATGTCAAAGTCGATCTCCTCGTCTAAAGTAAAAATTATGTCAACTGCATCACATGATAAAGTAAAAATTATATTTCATCAACATTAAAACTGTCTTAAACAAATAATTTTTATTACTGCAATTATAATGATATCAAGGTGGCAATTAGTTAAGTATTTATATTCATTGATAAGTGCCAGTTGGTATTAATAGATTTTTATTTATTATGATTTCAATTTACCTCCCCAAGACCATGAATTCCACTACAGTCAAGAGGACTACTTTTAGTTTCTGGTTACAACTCAGAAACACAAACCTTGACGAACAAGGCCGCTGTGCAGAGAAACAAGGTTTATTTATATTTAAAATATAGTTGTGTTTGAGTTGATATAACTTGTAATCAACAACAACAAAAAGTCAAAGATGTCAACTAACCAGTTGACATCAGCAGAAGAAAAGTTTTAATTCTTGACATAAAGTTTTAATTCTTGACCCTACCAGAACACTAGAATCTACTCTAAAAGTTATCAAGTGATCTAAGGAAAAAAAATCTACCACAAAACTGAAATGCCCATAAAATATCGTGAAGATCCAAAAGCTACACTTACAAGGAAATTAGAAATAACATTATTAAAAGTTAAACAACTCAGTCTGGAACAAATTGGAATCGACTATCTAAATGAAAATGTCTGATACCTTTAACTTAATTCTATACATAGAAGAATTAAAAAGAGATGATAAAAATGCTGACAATGAAGAAATTGACAATATATTGTGCTCTAGAATGTGTAAATAATAATTTAGGCTATCAATGAAAAAAAGGAAATGGTACAAAGGCAAAAAAAATGGACAAAAAACACATAGACCAATTGAAAAAGCCATTTGATCATCATCACGGCGTTTTGTAACGTCAAGTAGCTCAAAGATTCGATTGTGATCAATTGTATATATCTAAAATTCTTAAAAATAAAAGGAATAATAGATATTACAAGAAGAAAAAGATTCCACATCGAAGCAAAAGCCAACTAGCTCGAATCAAACCTATGAGTCAGCATATATATCGTAATTTTATGAATTCTGACTTGGATGATGAATCATGTTTCACATATGCGAATACAACATTGGCTGGCAACGATGGCTTCTATTCTAGAGATGTGTCAAATACAACTAGCAATGTGTCATCTACAACTAGCGAAGTCAAATTCAAAAGAAAGAAGAAGTACGAGGAAACGGTGCTAGTCTCTTTGATTATATCGCCCTAAGGGACTTTAAAACAGATGTTTTTTCAAAGTGGCCAGGCAATCAACTAACAAGCATACATCAGATGTCTCCGCAAGCGGTTAATACGCTTCATTGATGAACATTATAAAAATGAAGAGTACTTGTTCTGGCCAGATTTAGCTAGCTCGCACTATGCAAATGAAGTGGTTTCATTTTCTCAATGCCAATAACATCAAATACCTGCTAAAGGTAAAAAATGTACCAGAAGCTCGACCAATTGAGGACTTTTGGGGTCAATTGAAACGCTTAGTCTACGAGAATAATTGGCAAGCAACAAGCATTCCTCAACTCAAATGGCGTATCGGGAATTGTCTTAACAAAACGAATACGGGAGTGGCAAAACGTTATGCCTCAATGACTTCAGTTTGTCTAGGTCGAATTGCTTTTAATGTTATTGAAAACCAATAAATATATATTTTTAACTATCATATAATTGTTTATAAATTTATTTTAAATTAAATTTGATAGCAATGTAACTATGACTATAATAACCATTTTAAAGTTTTCTCATTTTTTAGTCATCAGGTGTTACAAGCATAACTTTAAAATGGCAGGAATGAGGTTTTGAAAAACTAATTGAAGCTCTACGTGATTACACACTGCCTAACCTAGAATCACTGATTGGTCAATCAAGCAACATTTCCAAAAAAGAAATTGAAAGTACAAGAACTCATGATAATATGAAGCACAAACTTTAAATGGAAAAACATTTTATGCATAGCGAGCTCAAAAACATTGATGCTTCAACTGCAAATTAACAAATCACTCCAACTGTCAAAGTAAATGCTATCGCTAGCATAATCAAGGAAGGCCAGCAGGAAGCATTCTTCTATATTCACAAGTGGTAACAAAGAGGAATCAAAAAAGGGTTGGTCCTGATGGTTGGATTAGAAAGACAAACTATTCATCCAACCATTGTTATGAATGTTGGTAAATACAAAGTGAGAGCACTCTTGGATAATTAAAGTTCTTATGCATCATCTAGGTTAATCAAGTACCTAAAATTAGAGCTGATGAAATAGGAATCGAAAAAAAACTGAAACATCGACTGGATTATTCCTCCAAAATTTCCCTGCTGTTCTGCATGACTATACACTCAATAAACAATTGTAACAATCTTGGCATAAAGCTTTACAAGTTTATAGATGAGTATTTGACTTTTTGAAAATCCAAGAAATGTTTTTTTAATAAAAATGCCGGGAAACCCTGGAAAATTATTTAATTAAAAATTAAATAATTTTCTGGGATTGTTTTACCAGGTTATTCATTTTTATATGCGCATTTATTCATTTAAATCATTTATTAATTTAATAACGTAATAAAATTAAACAAAGACCTGATACTAAATTAAATAAACCATCATGGAATGTAAAAAGTCTTCGTTTTAAGTAATTTTAACCTCGTTTACCAGAAAATAAGAAAAATTTGTTTTGAAAAAAGTGAACTGTTTTTTCAAAACAAAATGATTTTTTTTTTTGTTATATCTTTTTTAAAACGCATATAAGAATGAATAAATACGCATATAAAATTGAATAGACGCGCATATAAGAATGAATAACCCTGTAACAGACAACAAAAACTTTCGTAAACTTTTAAAACGGAATTTAGAATATTTAACTTTTTACAAAAAGGAATTTGTAATATTCGAAAAAATTAATTTGAATGAATTAAAAAGCAAAAAAAAAAGTAAAAAAATTATTACGAAAATTGATCTCGTAAAAATTTTAATTATAGAAAAAAATTTTTAAATGCAAAAGTATTTAAAATTTTATGTAAAAACATATAAAATTTTTTTTTCAAGTTAATAACAAAAAACATCCGGAAATTTCTGGAAAATTATAAGTGAATTTCCGGAATTCCGGGAATTCCTGGAAAAAACTCATCTATGACAAGTTGGACTGGATTGTACTTACAGTTCTACAAAATCCAATGATATCCCTCCTGAAAAAAAAAATACAAACACTTAGGCAGATGGCAAATCTTCAATGAAGATAGCTATGATGATCATTAAATTACTATTTGTTAAATTAATATAGTAGGCGAACAAATACACTATACAGATTATACACTTTATACTTCGACATTTAATTCTAGATTTTCGTCAAAGTTGTCAACATTTAAATATAATTCATATAAGTCATTAATTTTATCTGATTCCATTTCAGCTGATTTTTCTCTATCACCGCTATAAACTGCTAACAAACCTTTAACTTTTTCTGTTAGACACAATATTTTCTTATTTTTCAATCCTTTAGTTGATGAGATAGAACTAGTTAGGGATCAGAAATATGTAAAGCTCAAATGAAAATGCAGAAATGCATTTTTCTGCTTTTTTTTCCTGGCATGTTGTTCACGATCATATTTATAAATTCTGTGTCAAGAATCAATTTCCTCCCATTAAACCAAGTGGAACTGGTGAATTGATGATAATTTTCCCAGTATGTACTAGTACTTTGTGAATGGAAGCTGGGGCTTTGACCAATTATATACCTATAAAAATTTCTTATAACTATCATTGTAGTATCTATCAATATTTTTGGACCAATTGGGTTTTTGAAATTGATTGCAATAAAAATCTTATGTAATCTGATAGTAATTTTTGCATCAATTTCAAAAATTTTGTTGATTAATAGAAGTTTACGGCATTACTAGTTCCTGAGCTTTTGGTTCATCAACTCTTAAACCAAATTCTTTAATCATCCTATCATGAATGATTTTTTCCCCAATAAATTTTTTAAAACCTTTTTTACTTTCTGTGTTGATTCTTATAATTATTATTATCCTTGTTGAGTTTAATTATGTGTATACTAAAACTAACCTGTTTGTAAATTTTAATTTACATATTATTATGTGAAGAATAAAGTCTTTTATGTTGGCTTAGAATTAATTATAGACTATTAAATTTACTAGACTACAATTTATTCTTCCTATTTTAATGAATAAATATCTAATACCAGTACGATTTGACAGCAATTCCAATTCTGCATCAGCTTCTAAAGAATGATTACACTGGTTTAGAACTTTTACAAACTTCATGAAAATTATACAAATAAAGATAAATTAGATGTCCTCATTAACTATTTATCTCCTACCATGTTCGACTATATTGTTGACATTGAATCATTTGATAGCGCTATAGAAACTCTGGAAAAATTATTTGTAAAACCTAAAAATGAAGGTAAGAGCTCTTGACACTGGAAGCTCTGACACATTTATAAGCAAAGCATTATGTGACTCTTTAAAACTTAAAATAATCCCTTCTAATAAAAGAGTCTCTATGGCTGATCCTTCGTTATCTTTTCAAGTTATAGGTAAAGTTTCAACTAATTTCACTTTATTTGGTATGAAGTACTCTAATATTAACATTTTAGTTATACCCAACTCTAGCGAACAAATCATTCTTGGTAGAGATTTCCTACAGTTGCACTAAAGTCTTTATATCAATTATAGTGGCAAAAAAGATTCTTTAAAAATCTGTTCTCTAAATAGTATTACAATAAAAACTAGCACTCTTTTCCCATTTTTTATCTCCAGAATATAGACCGCTTGTTCCACCTTCTAGGCAATATAAATCAGAGGACAAAGCATTCATTGAGCAAGAAACTAAAAAACTTTTGGAACAGACATAAGAAACGCATGGTCATTGATTACTCACAAACAATAAATTGTTTTACGCTACTTGATGCTTATCCTTTACCTAACATCAATGAATTAGTTAATTCTGTTGCAAAATATTCATTATTTAGAACATTTGACTTAAAAAGTGCTTATCACTAAATACCTCTCCTAGAAAGTGACAAGTATTATACTACCTTTGAGTCCAATGGACATCTTTTCCAATTTAAAAGAATTCCTTTTGGCCTCACTAATGCTGCTGCACAATTTCAAAGAACCATGGATAAGTTTATTCAAGAAAAAAAATTAGAAGACACCTTTGTATATATAGATAACTTGCTCATATGTGGTACATCTAAAAATAAACATGATTTCAATTTAAGAAAAATTCTTGAAGCTTCTAAGAAAGCAATGTTTATGTTCAATGAAGAAAAGTCTATATTGTCTACTTCATGTATAACCTTCCTAGATCGCTTAAAGCAATTAATTGAAATCCCTGCTCCCACCAATAGTGCTTCTCTCTGTCGAGTTCTTGGTATTTTCTCATACTACTCCAAATATATCAAACATTTTTCTAACAAAATTCATCCTTTATCTCTAACTTCTACCTTTCCACTGTCAACTGAAGTTATTAAATGTTTCAATGAAATGAAAAAATTAATCTCTTAATCAGCTCTACAAGCTATTGATGAAAGTATACCATTTGAGGTGGAAACAGATGCCTCCGATTTGCCATAGCTGCTTTCCTTATTGCATTTTTTTTTGGCAAACTTTCACCTACTGAAAAAAAAAACATTCTTCTGTTGAAAAGGAAGCTTATGCTATTGTCGAATCACTTCGAAAATGGAAACATTGCCTTGTTGGTAGGCATTTTACTCTAGTTACCAACCAGCGCTCTGTCTCTTTCATGTTTAACAAAAACAAGTGTGGAAAAGTTAAGAATGACAAAATTCTGAGATGGAGGATAGAACTTTCTTCATACAGCTATGATATAGTTTATCGCCTTGGACGTAACAATTTTGTTGCTGATCTCTAGATCTTGTTGCTCTATAACTATAAACAGACCTCTCTCTTAAGGAACTAAATGAATCTCTTTGCCACCCTGGAATCACCAGAATGTATCATTTTATAAAATCAAAAAATCTGCCTTTTTTCACTTAATAATGTAAAAAAAAAAATTTTCGGGATAAATTTGTGCTGAATTAAAACCTAAATACTGTGTAAGCAATTTTAAACACACCTTATTAAAATCTACTCAACCTTTTGAGCAACTAAGCATGGATTTTAAAGGACCTATTCCAATCCTCAGGTCAATGGTCAGTGTGAAAGATACAATGGTATATTTAAGAAAGGAATTTTGGTTGCTCTCAAATCAAAGAAGTTACCTACCATGAATTGGGAAAATGTTTTACCTGATGTCCTTCATTAAATGCGTTCCTTACTTTGCACTTCTTATAACGCTACACCGCACGAATGATTATTCGGATTCAGTAAACGTTTTTTTAATGAACACTCTGTTTCTACATGGTTAATTAATTCAGGTCCTGTATTGCTTAAAAGGCATGTTTAATACAGCAAATATGAACCTCTGGTTGAAGAGATTGAGTTTTTAGAAGCTAATAGTAAATATTCTCAAGTAAGAATGCCTGATGGACTTGAGACCACTATTGCTATAAGACATCTCGCACCAATGGCTGATATAATCAGTGATAATGACGGAAATAATAACTAGAAAAATAACTACAATAAATCTGATACGATCCCTTTACCTGAACCTTTCCATACAAAAAGATCTCAAAACTTTTCTACTCTCTCTCTAACTAATCCTAATGGAATTTCTATTAAAGAATCAGTCCCTCGTTGTTTAGGAATATCCCGGAATCCTCCTAAATATTTAAATGACTATATTTGAACAATTTGAACTTATTTACTTATTTTGTTTATTTAGTATAGTAGAATGTGCTGATTCTTATAACTATTATTATCCTTGTTGAGTTTAATTATTTGTATACTAAAACTAACCTGTTTGTATATTTTAGTTTACATATTATTATATAAAGAATAAAGCCTTCTATGCTGGCTTAGAATTAATTATAGACTATTAAATTTACTGCACTCATGGATGAGTATTTGACTTTATAAAAATCCCGGAAAATCATTTTATTAAAAATTGATCATATTAACTGAAAACAAAAACTTTCGTAAACTTTTAAAACGGAATTTAGATTATTTAACTTTTTACAAGAAGGAATTTCTAATATTCGAAAAAGTTAATTTGAATAAATTAAATAGCATAAAAAAAGAAAAAAATTGTTACGAAAATTGATTTAGTAAAAATTTTAACTATAGAAAACATTTGTTTAAATGCAAAAGTTGTCGTTTTTAGAATTTTGTGTTAAAATTTTGAATTTTTTTTAAACAAATTAATAAAAAAAAAACATCCGGAAATTTCTGGAAAATTAAAGGAGTTTTAAGTGAATTTTCGGAATTCTGGGAATTCCTGGATTTTATTTTAATTCTATTTGAAATATGTAAAATAAATTCAAAAAACCTAATCCAAGCAAATTATTGAATGAGATGTTAATAAAAGCATTTGTTGTTTTACTATTATACTTCCAGCTGAATGCCTAATTTTAGGCTCTCAAATCTGCATAAGTTTTTTCTGTTGAAAAAACATCTGGTTTCAATAATAAATGCTTTTGCTCACTACAGAGTTTTTTAAACTCAGTTTTTCGTTCAACATATCGTTAAGTGTTTGAGTTAGAATAAACTAGAATGATAAAAATACTAATTAAGCAATGCAAACTTTAAAATACACGAGATGAATATTTTTCTTAGAAAATAAACAATCAATTTTTTATATACAATACTAAGTAAAATATAATTTAACAATTTTGAAAGATTTAAAAATCTTTATTTTTTTAATAAACTGAGGGAATCGTTTTAAAAACTTACATTTTTAATTTATGTTCATAATAATTTATACTTCTAACTCAAGAAACCGTTTTTAAAATATATTTTTCAAATATATATATATAATTAGTTAAAAGTTATAAAATTATTAAAAACCTGAATCTTGTATTTTTGTTTAGCCAATTAGCAGAAATTTTTAATCAAAGTTTAAAATTCAAATTTATAGTTTTGTTCACGTCACACACGTAACACAACTAATCAGTTATTCTACTATTATGAGCAAAAAACATATTATTTAAGATAAATATTATTTTATATCAGACACATCTCCTACTATAATATTTGCAATATATATCTTGCATATCTGTAGTAAACTATTTTTTATTGCCTCTTTTATTTGAAAATATTTGCACCAGAGTCACACACGTAATACAAGAATCATTTATGCAAAGATGGATGCTAACAGCACCCACCTAAATAGATTTAAAATGTGTCACCACAAAATATGACAGCTATAAAAATTAAATATAAACAAATAAAGTAAATATCTTTTCAGAATAAACAGTATTTTTTTGAAATTGGAAAAGATAATTTTCAATTTAAAGAGAAATATTTGTTGGATTTACAGCTTTTGACATCAAATCATTCCAGAGGCCAGCAGCTGGGTAAAAAAAATTCTAAATAACTAAATAAAAGTTTTTCTTACTATCTAACTTGTTATTAAGTTGTATAACATAGGTAAAATATACTTTGTTCAACTGACTTATAACTATCTAGACACCCTTAACCAATTATATTATAATAAATAAAATAACTAATGCCGTAGCGGTGTAATGGTAAAGTGCTCCCCTCATAAGCAAAAGGTTCCAAGTTCGATCCCCACCACGCCCCTGGTAACCACCACGCCCACATTTAAAGTAACGTAACGTAAGTAAAGTAACGCCCATTTAAAGTAACGCAGATTTAAAGTAACATAAAATAAGTAAAGTAACGCCCCTGGTAACCACCACGCCCACATTTAAAGTAGCCTTCTTTACAGTAGTAACATTAATTTAAAAAAAATTAATATTTAAAAAGGAATACCTTCTAATTCATTAACTAGTTTAAAATCATCAGCATACTGATCCTCATAATGACTATAATCTTCTTCATAATCTTCAGGATCAGGAAAACTATCCATTAAATATTTCCTTTTAAAATAATTTATCTGTTTATATATTACTGTATATATATATATATATATATATATATATATATATATATATATATATATATATATATATATATATATATATATATATATATATATATAGTAGCAAATAGTAATTATCATTAATAATAATGCAAAATAAAAATATAAGAATCATAATATCAATAACAAAAAATAGAACAGATAAAAATTAGGAAAAAAAAAAGATAGTTTAACAACTAGATAAGAAGAGATGAAGTAGGAGAAGTTCTAGGAGAGCTTTGTGTAACAGAATTTTTAATCATAGAAGAAGATAGAAATATATAACTTTAAAAGAAAATAGAAATATTGAATATGCAATAAAGTAAAATTTGGAAAAAAAAAATGGTTGAAGAGAATTAAGCAGGGGTGTTTGCATAGGAAATAGTTTATTGGATATTTATTATATGTTAGATGGTTTAATAACAACGCCACAATGTTTTAGAGCCATATACACTATATAGGATGATAAAAACTAGGGTATTTGATTGAGACTAGATGAACATTTATATATTTTTAAGTTTTACTTACAGTTTTTTATTTTTATTTTTAGAGTTTTATATTTTTATTTTATGAGTTTTATATTTTTATTTCTATTTTATGGGTTTTATATATTTATTTATGAGTTTTATACTTTTATTTTATTAAAAATTTAGTTATAAAGAATAACTAGGTGGTGATTGCATAAATGATAGTTCAATGATTATCTTTATTCAGGAGAAACTTTTTAACAACTGTGTTTAACAATAATATTAATTCATTCGTAAACCTATGCTAGTTAAGATAACTCAAAACTGTTGCTTCAAGAAATTATTTTTATGACAATATATGTTGCTTCAAGAAATTATTTTTATGACAATATATTTAACAAATATATAAACAGCATATTTGTTTTTTGTTTTTTTTTTGTTTTGTTTTTTTATTGGATAAATTTTTAATAATGTCAAATTTTTGGTAAAACATGACAAATTAAAAATCAAAAGTCACTGTAACAGCAAGTAAAAGTTTCAGTGATTTGATAATGACCTTTTAATAAAAAAAAAGTTATTGGAAAATCAATCGCCCATTAATACTAATAATCTTATTTAGGTATGTTACCCTAACAATAACTACATCCTTTACATAGTTTTTTGATGTTGCTATATTAGGTAATTTCATATTGCCTAAATTTAAGCATGTTTTTGGCAAACTTTGATAAAAAAAAAATTATTGTAAAATTATAACAATAATAAATTTAACTATATTAATACTAATAGTAATGATAATAGATAACATAAAAGGCTATCATAACAAAGTAGTAAATTAAATTAATAATTAAATTAACAATTAGTAGTCAAAAGTAATAATGATAGTGAATAAGAAGCAATAATAATATCAAAGTTAGGTATAAATTATACTTTCTACTAACTTTATCTTCCTTCTTACTAATAATGCAATATTATCTTATCTTTGATATCATTATTTTGCTTATTATACTATAATATTATCTTATCTTTGATATCATTATTTTGCTTATTATACTATAATAAGCAAAATAATGATATCAAAGATAAGATAATATTGCATTATTAGTAAGAAGGAAGATAAAGTTAGTAGAAAGTTAACTAAATAAAAGATTTTTTTTTTTTTTAATTTTTTGTTTTTTATTTTTATTTTAATTCTTTATCCGTATAGTGTTGTTTTATATATGTTTATGTATAAAAAATCAAAGAACTTATTGATTTTAATTTCAAAACTTTTAATAAAAATTTTACTCTCTTAAAAATTGTTGTTATTCCTAAATTTATATTTAAAACATGGAAAAAGCACATTCATATAATGAAAAAAACTTTAATTAAATATCATATTTATACAAATAAAAAGAGTTTCGCGCTATTTTTACTTAAACTAAAGCGGCAGAGCTGTTTATTAATCTCCCTAAATTACTTTATTCATATAGTTATTAATCTCCCTTAATTACTTTAAGTGTGTAGGGGAGAAAAGACTTTTTTTAAAAAACAAGAGGAGGAGAGACTTATTTTTAAAAAAAAAAAGTCTCTCCTCCTCTACGATTTCAATTAATTACTATTGATCCAATCTAATTTTTATTTCAAGCATTAACCCGTCTCCTTAATATTGACACCCCTCATCCGCAAAAAAAAAACTACTATACATGTGTTAGAAAGTTAAATGAAATATTAAAAAAACAAAAAATAATGTATTCAAGCATTTCATAGGCTCCTTTTGCAGATGCGCATGCATATATGGTCTTTTATTAATAACTAATTCATTCGTTGAGTTGATATTTTTCGTAAGAATCAAAAAAGTAAAAAACAGTAGAGGTCCGAGACCAAGACTATAACCAATGCTCTAGGTTTGCAAGACCGAGACTGTAACCAAGACTTTAAGCTTCAAAACCAATACCAAGACCGAGCTAGTTTAATATGAGTCTCGGGGTGTCTCGAGAACAAGATTTTGTGCTCGAGTCCTACATTTCTAGTTACGTTTCTTTTTTTTTTCTGTGTGCAGCTTTGATTTAACATGTATTAATACGTATTGATACGTTTATTAAACGTGTTAAACGCGTATTGTGCTTACTTAGTGAGTATAAATTTGATCAAAGGTTTTTGAAAATACCATACTTTCTGAATTCATAAAAAGAAAGAAAAAAATAAAAAACAAAATAAAACAAGTTTTTCACAACTTATTATTTTAAGCATATATATATATATATATATATATATATATATATATATATATATATATATATATATATATATATATATATATATATATATATATATATATATATATATATATATATATATATATATATACATATATACATATATATATATATATATATATATATATATATATATATATAAATATTTATAAATATATATATATATATATATATATATATATATATATATATATATATATATATATATATATATATATATATATATATATATATATATATATACATATAAAAAAATGTCCAAACATCAAAAACTTTAATCATAGAAAAAATATTTCACAGCAAGCTAGGTATATATAGGATATATAATTAACATAGTCGTAATATATATATGCCTATCATTTTAGACGTAGAAACTATATTGTTTACAACATTTTAAATTAAAAAGATAAGGAGATAAAAAGTAAATCTTATCGATAAATGTAAATTTAGTAAAAAAAAAGTACTAAATTTTTTATAAATATATTGTCTCACCATTTGGGGTAGTTTTCGCACAAATACTTTGTTATTACATTTATAATTATAAAAATTCATTCACATATAAATTACATAATTTTTTATTATACTATTCAACATAAAATGACAATAATAAAACAAAGGTATATAACAAATGTTCTCATAATACATCATTTCGAATATAATTTTTTAAACTTGTGTTTTTCCATTGTTTAACAAATTTTCTTAATGTCTTTTCTAAAAATAAAATAAAAGCTAAAAAAATGTTTAATATTTTTATATTAAACTTATGATGTAAATATTATATGAAAATTCTTTATAATAAAAACTTTTAACCCGACCCAAACCCGCTTTAGGAAATCAAATACATGTACAAATATTTAAAAGAAAGACACACAAAAATATTGGCAAAAAGTATTAAATCAACATTTTAATATGGCATTCTCCTAAACGGAATTTTTATTTCGCAGTATGATAAAAAAAAAATAAAAAGTTTTTTTAAAATAGACATACCATTTTCTTCAAAATAAAACTTTCTTAAAAAAAAACGATTCTTGCCAGGAACAATAACAGCATTTTGTTTCTTTTGAATCTTGTTTTGATGATGATGGTGCAGTATTGTGTATTCTTTATGAAGATTAAAAAAAAAATCATTTTATATCATTTTATTGAGATAAATAGGCGTGGCAAAAACCGAGCATACAAATACCATAACTGTTTGCTCAATTTTGCTTGTCCATGGCAGGTGAGATGAATTTCTAAACTACATTACAACTTACTTATTATATATTTTTGTTAAATAATAAAGTGTAAGTTAGAAAACATCATAAACTGTAAATACTTTTTATATTTTTTGAATTTTTTAGTTATTAATTTTTTTTTTTTTTTTTTTTTAATGTGTATCTACAAAAAAAAAAGAAAACTCCATTTCGCAATACATTTAACTATGCTAAAATAATTCTTACCTATCATATTCTTTGTAATGCGTATATACCAAATATTGCTAAGCAGAAAGTTGCGAAGGTTTTTCGTTCCCCAATGCATTAAGGAACAAATTGGCAATATACTCCAAAAGAAGATTTATTCACATGTAAACATATCCACTTTTTGAGTATATTGCCAGTTGTTATTTAGGCTGGGTGATACATTTTGTTTCGGTGACTTTAATAACTTCATATCGTCATTTAGTCTTTAAAAAAATAAAAACTTTTAGACAACATAACTAACACTTTTTTGAGCATTTTAACTTTTTTTTATATTGAGGATACTAAGCATGTAAAACTGTTACTTAAGCTTGTAAACAAACGAAAAAAAGAAAAATTATATAAATGCATATTTGCTTTTTACATTTGTTTTATTAAAAAAGCAAAAACATTTTCTGAAGAGTTTCTTTTGCTTTAAGTTTCTCAAAAACAAATTCAAAAAGATATTTCAACAAGCCATTTAAAAATTGCTTTATTTGCTTTATTATTGTTGATAAAAATGTAAATAAAATAAACTTAAAGTAAAAGAACAAAAATAAAACTGATTATAATGACATTTAAGTATATGAGGATAAACAAGTAGATCTTTCAATTTATTTAATCGTATTACACATATAATACAGGGAGCAAGATACGTTTTTAATCAAAAAAAAAATAAGACTAAAATATAAAGTAAAAAAATATGACATTACTTGTTTAAACCTAGCGTTTAGATTAGATATGGTCAATGTAAGTTAAGTAAAAATAAAAATGCTTAAAAAAAACTACAGTACTAAAATCTTCATGTAATAGTATAAAACATAATTG